CATTGATATAAACGGGCAGGGACTGACATGCCGTTTGTATTCTTTTTTACAGCGCATCCTGCACTCGAAGTGGCGAAAACGTCGGTGTGTCTGATGTTTCGTGCACGCGCATGCCGTCTGTATTGGATTCTTGCAGCACATCCTGGACGTTGGACGTAAACGCGCGAAGACGACATGCCGTCTGTATTGATTTTTACAGCACATCCTGGACGTTTGACGTGAATACGCGAAGACCGACATGCTGTTTTTTTGCAGCACATCCTGCACTCGAAGTGGCGAAAACGTTGGTGCGGCCGATGTTTCGTGCGTGCGTGGGGGTCGGGGGTGGCTTGGGGAGGGGTGGGGGGGGTGGGGATGATGTAGTCAGGAAGGGGGAAGGGGGTTTTCCTAATATATCCAAGTTTGCACCCAGATTTTAACAGATCCCGGTTCCACTACTATCGTAGATAGAAACGAAACACTAGCTACGCTAGCTTTTGTGACAAGATAGACCAGAATTCCTCTTAAATAACTCCCGAGTCGAGATAATACCGAATGTAACCGCTCGCCATACCATCATGTCATAAGAACCTCTTCATAAGTCTTGTATTCATCGTCTCACGAATCAGAAACTATTTATACTTCCAACCTGACAAAATAATCAAAAGAAACCTCAATCTCATCACAAGTCTTATAATACATTGATGGTACATGCCTTTTGAAAATTAAGTTTCCTTTAACCGTATAAATGTATTCCGATGAATTAGTTTCTGCACTAGCCGAACCAATTAAGATGAAATCTGCCGTACTCCACATTTAAACATGCAGAACGAGTTGGCTTCCGTGGGAAGGCAATAGCCACCATCTTTTTTTGCAGGTTACTCTTTGCCCCATCTCCGCATGCATACTGCCGCCGTTGTGATCATGGTTGTCATGCCCTCAGTTCCGTTCGCAGAGACTCTGGGGTGTAGGTGTGTAGAGGTTTAGGATTTGCAGCTTGCAAAGTTCTGTAGAATAGGGGCCGTTCTAGAAAGAAGAGGGTTTGGGCAGTAGAACTTTTACAGAGAGCCTCTTGGCAGGATTGTCTCAAACCACTATATTGGTTGGTTGTTGAGCCTTTCCACTCGCGTCGAAGACCGGCAATTCTTTTAAGTTCCTATCACGTGTCAGAATACAGCTCTATTGTCATGTCGTTTGGGCGCAGGAAGCACTTCCAACACAGTTGTAAGCTCCTGAAAGGAAGGATGCCGCATTTGCAGACAGACATGATGCACATCGACTGAAAGTCCACAGTGAATGCAGACTGGCGGCCAAGACCAAGTACCTTGGCAGCAATGGGTCCCAAATCGGTTCGGGACTCCGCATGCTCACAAAATTGCGGTAGTAGCATGGCAGCCAAACTTCCGGACAAAGCCTGCTCATCCAATGGGCTACAGTCACCTGCCTCACCCCTAGAACTCGTACAATACCTCATTACCTCACCTAGAATTAAATCCTGAACCCCTCAAAGCTGCAAACCCTCCACCTTAAAGCCTGAACTTCAAACCCCTGCGAGCCCAGCAGCGTGTAGCGCAGCGACACGCGGCCGAAGGAAGCCGGGGGATCCCGTTTTAGGATGAGCTCCTGGAAGGGGGCCACGGGTTTGGGACGAACGGCTTCTACCTGGGGGTAGGGGGTGTCGGGTGTACGCTTTAAGCGTCTGCTGATTTGGGGGTTTTTTGGGGCTTCAGTTTGCGGAGTTTGTGGCATAACTTAGGGATTTCAGGGTGTAAGATCTTGGGCTTTAATGTACGGGTGTCGGATCAAGGTGCAGGCAGCTAGGGGGTGGAGGCGTCCGAGCTGTTGCGAGGCTGATCTACTTGCAGAGTTCGCGCTTCTCATGAGACCCCCGATCTTGTCGAGCCAGTGACAATCGCTGCTGAGAGCGTCCTTGATGGCATAGTACCGGGCACGTCCGGTGAAAAGCAGAATCAGCACGAGCAGGGCCATGAGAACTTCCTCAGCTGAAGGAGTGCTTGCCGCTAGGAAGTCGAATGGCTCTGCAAGGGCACAGATATTTCCAGCCTACAGTCTTTTGCAATTGCTACAATGGCTGGCTGGCCCCATGTCTGGTACTTATGAATCCAAAGTCTGGGGTTTTGATTTGTTGGCCCATTTAGCGCGCAGAGATGAGAATGCATTCCAACTACGACTATGACGGGCACAGGTACAGCACCTTACAGCGAAACAGTACTTTGGAAGAGCCATGAATTGTATCTACTTCATGTGATCTGGGGCTGTTGCTCATAACCTCTGATTTCGACCGAAAACATGCATCTCCTAACTCAGACCGCGGAATGCGCGACGGCGAAATCAGAACCTCCTAGATGCTAGGCCAGCGACGCTGATGGAGACGCCGGCCTCCCAGAATCGGCTGACTCCCTCAATGGCCTGGGTTGGTGTTGGGTTAGAATTTAGAGTTCGGCTCGGACGACACCTAGCTCGGGGCCTCCTCTTCGTGCAACCCGGACCCTAAGTCCTCAACCCCAAACCGTGGCTGAGCAGAAGATGATGAGACCATCGATGCAAGTGTTGCTACGCAGTCCAGCTTGCGGGGTAGGGAGGGTTCCCTCCTGCGGCTCCTGGACCCTTCTAAACTAAATCGCAAAGCCTCGACTGTCGAGGTTGCGGCGCGGAAGTGGAAGGTTCAAAAATTGTTGCTGACGGGTCCGGGAATCGCCTTCCAGTGTTTACGTTTGCGTGGATGACCGCTTCAACGCTTGCCTTTTCGACAACACTCCGGAAATCCCTCATTGCCTGTATGCCGTGAATATACAGCCGTCACAGGGCCCTCTCTTTCAATTAGCAACGGGTCGGGCTGGGACGAAGGGCGTTAAAGAAAGCCCTGCTTTGCCAAGCGACGTAAAAGACGAAGATGGTCCGAATGCCTGCTGAACAACTCGCAGGTGATCCGAGTCTGCAAGAATCCGCAGCCGCAGCAACAGAAGCTTCCTCGCTTCATGAACAATCAATCTCTACCCATAGAACTTGAGGGGCCCGGCCTGCCATGGCAGTTCGGATCCATGCAAGGAGGGTCCTCGGAAGCTTAACGTGCATGGGTCAAAGGAGCACTCACGACGCCGTTGTGCGAGCGGGCACTCAGGCTCCACTTAACTCTTGCTACCATTTATGTTGCATATATATATATATACATATGTAGATGCACAATGCCAATTACCACTTGAATGACTAGCTGAGCAGACAAAACAAGCGCGGGACCGTGCTTAGAACCTCGAGGCTCAGGCCATGGAATCAAGAGCAAAAACAGAGAAGGCTGGAGCGAAGCAACACATGTCAACACTAAACATCGTAACATTCAGTGACAGCTCTATGTCGGCAGTGAATCTTGAACTCCAAGGCTTAAAACCCCAAAGCCCCTAAAAACCCCCAAAAACCCGAAAGCCCCAGACCCCAAAACCCTAAAGAACTAAGCTCAAGGTCAACGTCCGCCCGACAGCTGAGCCATGGCGCCGCTCGTTGGCGAGGTCCGTGGAGAGGCGATTGAAGCCTTGGGTCAGGCTGATACAGGGGCCTTAACAATTAGAATAGTTTCTTGGGGCCCATGCAACTATAAATAGAAGAAGGAACCCCCAAAATGGTACGGGGAATGATTTAGGCTACTCTGCTAATCTACCAAAACAGCCCAAAGCGTGCAAGTTCAGCAAACTGGGGTATCCTTTTCTGATTGCTATCTGTATCTGTGTAACAGTCCAGTCTTTCAAGATGACCACATGGTTCCTTTTCTCCCCAACCCTGACGTTGAAAGACCTGTGTCCTTATCTTTCGTACGTTCAAGGCGGAGGACTACTAATACCTTCCCACCCGCCAGCAGCCAGCGACTTCCGAGACCTAGCTGTGAGCGACATCGCAGTGCAGCTCGAGCGGCGTTCCATGGCCGTGACGATTTCGTCGGTTTGCTGGGCAAAATTTTCCCACCGCACCTGCAGCTGCAACAAAGCTAGCTACGTAATGGCAGACATCTTGGGCTCTCTGGATCTCTCGGCCGGGTTGTGGGATAGCTTGCTCTTGCAAGAACGGGAAATCCCTCACAAATTCCATGGGGTCCGCACACGCGACATGCGCAGCAGGCTGGTGTAGCTGGCGGAGTTGGCGCTTTGGACGACCTTCGGTGAAGCTGGCGCTCAGGCTTGAAACTGCATATTGGGGCAATCTATGACTGTGCGCATGCAAAAACACTCGAGGCCTAAAGGATGCTAAGCCCGAAGCTAAAGAGTGTAAACCCCGCAAAGACGTAAGCTGACTCGAAGTTGTCACGCCTCCAGGCGGCGTCCTTCGGGCGGGGCACCTGCAGCCTTCGAAGGGGCAACGAGTCGGATCGGATTCTGGAGCCCCCGATAACTCCGAGGAAAATGTGATATTCAAACTCGGCCTTTGAAGGTTCGTCGGTTTGAAACCTCAGCCGGCGGTCTGACCACTTCTCTTCGTGACGTGCTAGAGTATGGGGCACGCTCAGCTCGGAAAGCACAGTACAGGGGCACAGGTGCGCCACGGTACGCCGGACCGCTCCGAGCGGACAGGGTGACGAGCAGCTACCGGTAGCAAACTTCACCTTTGCACACGCAAACGAATCCATATCAACCAGGGCACGAGTTGCCGGGAAAAGAGTTGTTGGGCTTCTCGTATACATGCACCGTCAGGAAGAAGTCTTCCTTGGAGAGGCGATAATGCTTTGCAAGCCTCGCAGTAGCTTCACAGGCAGAAATACCAACCATGGCGTGGTGGTGTTCCAATCGAAAATCAGACTAAACAAGGCCCCAGCAAGCAGCTCGGCATCGTCTCGCAGCACAACTCGAAAGCTAGAAGCCGTAAACATTACTACGTCCTCGCTGAACGGCAAACTCCTAGCACAGCCAAGCGGGCACCCTAAACCCTAAAAGCCTTACAACTCCCGAACCCCGGCATGTTCGACAGGTGACAGGGAGGCCGGCATGTAGCAAAGCCGCAGAGAGGGGAACGACAGGGCCGGTGGCCTGGCAAGACAAACCACAGCAACACAACAACAAGGGCGGAGACTTGAGAAAGCTGCATCTCCCGCACTATTATTTACAGAAAGGTCTTGCGCTGATTGAATAGCAGGGAATGAGGGTTCTAAGAGGTCAAGGATTTCGAGTTTAAGGTCCAGGGTTTGAGTTTACGGAGACTCCATGGTCTCAGCGTCGTCAGCCCACCAGCCCCGAAGCCGAACATGCGGGCGACAAGCAAGTTCTGGTGACTCCGGAAGCCAAGCCTCCAGAAATCCAAATGCCAAACTCCGAAAAAACACCACACCCGCGTCAAGCCAAGTCGGAGCTTACTTCCCTGGGCGTTGGCCTCGGGGGTCGAAGTGCAAAAAATGGCATCCTTGCAGGGCCAAGGGATCAACTTAAGAGCTGCCTTTTCAGCGCTTTTTTGTGGGGCCTAGGTCCGATGTAATTGGGTTTAAAGTTTAAATTACCGGGATTTTTTTGGGGTTTCAAACCAGACGAGTACTTATTGTCATGCCTTGATGCAGCGACTTGGGAGCTCGGAAGTTCAGAGGGATACGAGCCTTCTGCAAGGAGGCATCTGCAACGTCGCGAGGGGATTTGTACGGACTTTACGGCTTGATACGAAGAGTTCGGGGCAAACCAATGCCATCGCAGAATGGACCATGAGACCTGCCACGACTGCAGTGCCGACATTCACCCCGCGCATTCCCCTGCCTGTAGAACTCGTATAGAGGAAGGTCTTTAGCAGACAGTCTCTAGTACAGCGCAGAGCCTGAGAGGATCCAAGATGTATCATATATGTAGCCATGTAGCCTAGAGCTGCATAGATCCCTTTGCTCGAGCCTCGGGTGCTCCCACACGAGCTGCCACTGTGCGATGCAAGGATGCAGAATCCACGCCTTCGTACCTCTGAGTGCACTTCGAGAAAGAAGGGCGGGAAAGTGCGGAGCGAGGCGGCGAAGCACAGCCCGTTTTTTGGGAGGCTCAAAACGGGGGGGTTCACCACGGGGGTTCGGCCAGCAATGTATGCCGTTTTGCGACAGCTTGCAAACCAGCCAATCAATGTGCACAAAGTTCACTCTAGAAGCTAGTCAGTCTAAAGGTTCTAAGTTGAATGAGGGTCAGGAGGTTCTAGGTTGAAGGGTCGCTGGCTATCAGCAAGTCCGCGACCCCACCGGCTTCCAAACGCGAAGCATTGAATCAAGAAATTAAGCTCTACAACAACTCCCTATCACCTCCTGATTCAATCCCTGCGCCCACCAACAGAGTGTGGGTCAGCTGCCTGCTGATGGGCGGCGGGCGAAACCCAATTCGAAGAGTCGGTGTGAACCAAGTTCTATGATAGAGGATTTGCTGCAAGTATATTCAAACGTCCCGTTGCTACGCGAAGCATGAGAATACGTCACGACGACGCAACAGGGCGAATGCGAACGCCCTCGCGACCCTGGAAGGGCAATGTATCGCGCCGGCGCCCGTCCGATACATGTGTTTGCTGCTTGAAAACCTGACCTTTAACCCGTATGTATTGAATTCGTACTGCTTTTTTCGGACTCTGATACATCTGTCTCGGCGGTTGTATCGGCTTTTCGACACGCCAATACAAATTGTATCGGCCGTGGCTTGGTTGCAGAGTAGCCCCTGTCTGCTAATCTGCACCCTGCAGTCCATGCTAAGCCACGTTTCAACACACCACAGGCCGCATTGTCAATAAACGAACTTAGTAACATCCCAGTTGTCAACTCTCGATTTCGCCCCGGGCCCTAAGCACGTCCGCCAGGAGACGACGAGTCAGGACGAATATGAAAAGCAAACAGAAACGGGACAGTTGATTTTACGGCGCACTGGCTGCAGGGAATGCTCTTACGCACAGTTTTCGCACGCAGCCCTAGTCAAGAAATGGTTGCACAACTGCCCCTGGTGCATTCATGTTGCTGCCCTTTGGCCCTGTACCCCCCTAGCCAATCCCCCCTTTGGAGCCACCCGAGTTTTTAAGTCCGATGGCTAGACCACGCAAACCTACGTTCATCAACCTCGCTGAAAGGCAAAACTGCCAAGAGGCAAGGCCAGTTGGAACACTTGCTGGCCTGGAAATGGCAGGGACTCAAACGACTGGACGCTACCGCTACAGTTTCTTTAAACATCATGCCATTGTGTCTTGATGCTGGTCGCTCCTAGACGCCCATTTCCAAGTCTATCCCTACAGCAATCAGCTCACCACAGCAGAAGCAAAATGCCGAATGACATGCCACAGATGCAACCACGCAACCATCCGAAGAGCGTAGCTGCAGCAAGTGGAAGGATGTGCTGCAACCTCGTGGTGAAGGACAAGACTACTTGATCTTCTTATCTTTCTGCCTGACCTTTTGCAGCGCTTCCCGAAAGCCGAGCCGGCTTTGCTTTCCAATGGGCAAACTGAAGCTTGCTACCAGGCCCCAGATTGTAGATTCCCCGGGAGCCTGCCGCCGTTTTCGGCGAGCTGGGATTCGACGATGGCCGTGTCATCGGCATGGGAACGATGGCTGTACGTCTGTCTTGGTGTGGCTGTCCAAGTGTCTGTGGTTGTGTGTGTGTGTGGGGGGGGGTAGGGAGGGCAAGCATGTCGCAGTCAGGAGGCAAAGCCCAGAGTCTTTGTGCTGTCGAAGGATCTTGGTTGAAGTGCCGGTACTGTTGGATGAACCAGCAAAAGCTGGGCTAGGCTCCAAAGCTTCAAACCACACACATCTGGTGGGTAGGATACTGCATCAGCTAGGGCTGACCAACACGCGGGCCATCGAGGTCCGAGGAAGCTTTGCGGAAGATGGCGAGCGGAGGACGGAGATTTCAATAGTTCCACAATGTTCCACATGCTCCATACTACAGGTATGTCCGCAACTGGCCCTTCGTCTCGCTAGGAATACACGCCGTTGAACACGGGTAGAATCTTAGAGTAGGATGAGATTAGGATTGGTTAATGGAACAGGCATCGGGGCAGATGTCGGGGCCTGTCACGATTTGATGTCTCAACTGTCCGGCGGCCGGCCTGAAGCTAGTGTGCTTTCAGCATGCAGATCCCAAATCATCACCACCACCACCGTCACCGTCACGGTCACCACCACCACGATCATGAACAGCATGAACATTACAATGGTGGTCGCTGTCATCATAGTTGCAACCATCGTCAGGGCATTTCCACCGTCACCCATTGGGCATTGGACCCAGTTGGAGCGAGGGTGCTCGCTGCCCAGTATTCTCCCAGAGACAAGCCCTCACGGCATCCACCAGAGTGTACCCCCAAAAACGACTGCAAAACAAGAAAAATCTGCAGAATCGCAGATACCCAGCTTCCAGTAGGTCACTAAATTGGGCTAGGTAGTTGCAAAGGCACGGAATAACCCAATTCTGAACTTTTCGATCTTCAATCCGAAAGCAGGTAGGCGATGGGCCAGGAGCAAACCTCGGTCTCGTGTCTTCATGAAACCGATACCAACACCGCACAACGGCGTTTGGTTGTGGCCGCTTTCACTCACTGGGGGGGCGGTACTTCTATGCGACTTGGTGGAAACCATGAAACTGCACACTCCACATCACCTCCCGGCGAAGCGACAACGGCCACGAAACCCACTTGCCGACATGCTAAAGAACGACACTGCCTCAAAAAGGCCAAGCGGCCGCTCCGGTTTTGTCACCTGCGACGAGCTCTCCCCGCACCAAGTTCCTCGGCTCTGGTGCATGAAGTCATATGAAGTCCATATGGCTGCAACAGGCTGTCTGCTGCTCCCTTTGATTTCCACGAAGATCAAGCAGCGCGGCTTCTCACGAAACAACCACCGTGCTACAAGCTGTCATGCGTCACGGCCATGACATGGCCTTCACACGTTGCCAAGCCGGACAAACAAAAAGAAGACTTGTACCCTACACCCAAAACATTCCCAACATTCCTACTGCCCTGCCAGATGCGATGCAAGCCTCAGTGCCAGGCAGTTCACGGCGCTCTGCATTTTCACAGAGCGACTCCGCAACCGCCGGGCTTCCAAGTCCTGGTAAACAACGGCTCTGCCAACCGGAAGCGATCAGAAGCCTGACGAGACATGTCATATCTATCGGTATGTATATGTATATATACACGGATTACAACATGCTAGAAGATGCATGTATATCTATATATGTTTATGCGTAGATGTGTTATAAGATATGTATGCGTGTATGTGTGTGTGTATATATATATATATATATGTCAGATGCGAGCCCGGCCCTACGACACAACTCTCAGATGCATGCCCATGCACGGCTTGCTCCGTGCACGGAGAATTCAGATGTTAAGCAAGATCAACGGAGGACAAAGAGGTGTTGGAGGCTCTTTTGCTGTTTGGGTCTGAGATTCGGCCATGGGCTCTTGGCCGAGTTCTGAAAGTGGTTCCCTGTCTTCGGTTTGACAAAGTCGCCCTGAATAAAACCGCTGGTGCCCATGAACAAAGTACTGACTCTAAATGGATACAAATGCTACCAGACAAGGCTCCCAACAAAGGATGTCTCCATTTCGGAGGCCACATGCGACGACTGGCGACTCCTCAGCTTCAGCAACTTTCGAGAAAGGAAAAAAAAGGTTGCATGCAGACCTGTTTGCAGCCCAGGCAGCCGGAAGGAAGATTGCCGAAAGCACTGGGTGGTCAAAGTCACCAGACCTCGAACGCCGAAGAACATCGAGCTGCAACAAGATTTTATCAAAGACCAAACTGTGTACATTGGAATTGCGTGGTTGCCCACCTGCATCTTCGCTGCTTGCCCTGAGCTTGGCCCTTCAGTTTTCCCCCTGAAACAGTATCGGTTCATTGCAGGCTCTTGCCTGTACCGGCTGCATGGCCGGGAACATTGGACCATCACCTATCCGTTTGCTCGGGCCGGAATCCTGACTGACCGGAACGCGCAAGCCGGATCATCACCGCTTGAACCATCTTGCCGGCGCGCATACTTCAACCCCTCTTCCAAAGTGAGCTAAACTTGCAGCGAGACGGAAAGAATCCCTAATTAAGTTGCGCAACCTCGTTGCGATACGTTGAGGCCACTATCTTGTGCGACTTCGGAGATCTACGGTCGGAGGCCTTTCGAAGCAAAGGCAAAAATCGCCGGCAGGCTGGGAAACTGGGATCTGCCCAGGGGCTGCTCGCTGCCACCGCGGTGGAGGCAGAGGCGCCCGATGTTCTCCTGATCCGGCATTCTAGCAGCTGGCATATTTTTACTATAGCGCAGTATATTGTCGATTATATACTATTAAACGATAGTACAATACAATATTGATTATATACGATTAAACTATAATGCACTATATATTATTGATTATATACTATGTCTAGCTGCATGTTATATTCATCAGAGACAATGAGCCACGGCCACTGGAAGCTCTCCGAGGTCCTTGAAGCCGCAAAGGCTGTACGCGAAGGTCGAGCGCTCTTCGCCCGGCGGCACCGCGATCAGCCACCTGGGCATGGGCGGCTTGAGTTCTGCAGCGATGCAGAACTGAGCCGATATGGGCTGATCGAAAACCGGATACAGGAGCAGGGACTTCCCGCTGCAGCACTGGTTCCTCAAAGCTTTTTGTGCATGAGATCCGGCAATGATGCAATGCAGCCCAAAGGCGCTACGTATGCGGCATCTGTGCGGATCTCTTGCAGCTTGGCCCCACTTTCGGGCTGCCACAAGCAAATGCAGTGGCTGCGATCCGCTGAAATAAGGACCTGGACCAGGATTCTGTTTTCACACGACGGTACATGGCATTAAACAGATCTGTATAGTACACACATATATATATATATATGCGTATACACTTTTACTCTCTCTCTCTCTCTCTCTCTCCCTCTAACACCTACATGCACATATGTACAGGCACACCAGCAAACAAGCAAACAAGCTAAAACATGCTTTCAGACTACAAGTAAGTTTTACAAACCATGTATGCGTATGCACAGCCGCACAGCAACACATGTTCATAACATAGGCTAGCTAGACGTTCAACCCTGCACATTGAGCACTAAATTCTTTATCTCTGCCACCCTCTTCGAAGAAACATACCAAAAAGGGCCCTTGCAGAAGGCCCCTCCTTGTCTGCCCCGCTCCAGGCGACGGAGGTCACAGTGCTGGCGCAGTTCAGCTTCCTGAGAGTACAAGAAACATGAAATGCTCTCTTGTCGTGAACAGCAGAGAGAAAGAGGACTTAGAAGTAAACTTATCATCAGAGCAAAGCAAGAGCAAAGAGTCACAAGTAGAAGAAGTAAGATCTAACCTGGCTCGAAGAGGCTCTCCGAGGCTCCAAGGAGTTTATTGTGTTGGAAGGTGTTTGGTTTTTGTTTAACGGCTTGTCGCGCTTAATTGGGCTTGAACATAGCGGCTTAGGGGCCTTAAATCTTAAAGGCTTACGGTTTTTGCTTCGAAAATGATTGCTCTCAAGCACTTCTTGCTCTTCGGCACCATGTCCGGTTAAGTTGACGGCCCTTGGCTATGGGCACCTCGCTGCCGAAAACAACACCGCTCCCTGTCACACTACGCCGCTTTACAACAGTAAATCCTAAAGTCCTAAAGGACATCCGGAAATCCCAACTAAACCCTGAACTTTGCGGCGAAGTTCAAGTGCTGCTCCAGGCTGTCCGGGTTCCAGAGGACGATGCGGCCCTGAGGGCAACAAGACGGGGAATGGGCTGCAGGCTACCGAAGAGTCCTGCACTATTCCCTTTGGTGTGTATACATACATACATACATACATACATCCGTACATACATACATATTATACATACATATAAATGCACACACGCTTATACAGATGGACATATACACACAAACACTGTATGCTAAACTATACCCATACGTAGCTTAGTTTTTAGCTAACCATGTTTGATTTATGTTGGTCTTGGATCCCAATCTGCGCCTTTTCATCTTGTGAGGCACTAACTAACACTTGCTGAGAAAGGCTGGAGACTTGGAGTAACAAACACCTGCATCAGAGCTAAGCCTCAACATAGCACGCCTGCGGCTTCTCTTGGCTAAAGGCTCCATCGCCAGTGATTGCAGCACGCAGCTCCGGGACGAAGATCAGGCACGTGACGAGTTTCTTGTACCTTGCCGATTGCAAAGAGAGCATGAGATAACCTTCAGGGCTGTCGAGTCTGCATGGGTGCAGGGAGCCCCCGGCGACTTCTTTGGAGGCTTCAGAAGCAGTTTCGTAGCGCAGGGATTGCGATTGGAACAAGTGCAACCGTTTCTCTCGTCCCTGCGAGCACTTCCGCGAAGATATTTCTGGAACCAGAATATGAAACTATGGAGCCATAAAGACTCCACTGTACCTTCTGGTTGTAAGCCTTAAACTTGACTCTACGAGGCCACGTTCAAGTTACTTGACTCTGTGCAACCCTAAACCCTGAAGCAACTCATTCTTCGGAAGTTGCTTCATCTCCGCCCGCAGCTCACCGGTGTCTGCGTCCCAGACTGCCACCTGACAAACAATGGAGACTCGATAGGATATGCTGGTTCATTCGGTTTCAGGGACCCTTTCCGGACAGAGTACGGACCTTCAAACTCGGACTCAAGTTTTCAGTCTGAGACCACATCACCCTTTAAAGTCTAGAGTCGAGGGTTGTTCGTATTTGGCCAGCGGGAAAATGGAGCATCGGGAAGAAGGGTTCCGTCAATCAGCTTATTTAGTAAGGTGCTCAGCGCTGTTGAAGGCAACCTGTAGTCAGCTGCGATACAGCAGTACTCGGGGGGGCCGGGGGGGGCCTTCAATCACGTAATGGGGGGCCTTCAACCAGGGGAGCCTTGTCCATCATGGCATCAAGCCCGAAGTCTCCCCCAAATCCTACTACACATCCCAAAATCTCTGAACCTTCGACCCCAACTACGTCAACCCAAGGTGAACAGACCCACTACGGTGGATGATATAAATCCTGCATGAGTTTGTAAGACACGCGCCACTTCCCTTGAACCCCTGAATTTTAATATCGTCGCAGGCGGACGTCTCAAATAGGATCGCGCGAATAATATAAATCCTGCATGACCTCCCCTCTGACATCAATTAATAGGTTGTGTGGGCACTGCAATCACGAAATACCGGTACTCAGTTAACTAATGCTCAGGTGCCAAGCAGAACGACCGACCCTCACCATCTCTGACCTCATCCGCGACAGTCCTAAACTCCACTTCTTTCAAACCTACCCCTCCCTCCAAAACAATAAGCTTTATGGAACCCATATAACAACCGCACCTTCAACCCTACAACCATAAACCCTGAAAGAACATTTGACACCGCGAACATCTGAACCCCAAAAACTTCAAACCCCGAAAACACCCGAAACCCTAAAGCCTCAAACCCGTCCCGGCCGTTGAGCTCTCCCGCACGGCACGGCCCCCGGCCCCGAGAACCGCGCGCAGCGGCGCAGCCGTCGCCACCTGACCGGGGATTTCGGTCCAGGGCTTTTTTTTTGAAACGCCTTTTTCCGCCTTGCAGTTAAGGTCCAGGGTTCAGGGTCTAGGGAGTCTAGGGTGTAGGGATTTCCGTTTGGGGTGTCGGGTCTCGGGTTTGAGGATATTTCGGCTTCAGGTCGCCGCGGACCCTTGAAACCGAGACTCTTCTCGTAGCTTCGGTACCCTAAGCCTTAAGCGGCACCCTAGAATCTAAACCACAGGGTTTTTTGGCACCGTAAACAAAACCCGAAGAGCTCAAGCCAAGCAGCGTTAGCTCCTTCGAAAAGCTCGTTGAAAAATGCATCGGTGCCCCGAAACTCCCCTCCCCCCCCACACTCCCCAAGAAGAGCCCGAAACCAGAAAGCCGATCGAAGCCCAGGCGCTGAGAGGAGAGGATCTTCGGAGCTTAGCTTGCGCCGCACCGCGCCGCTGGCAAGATCCACCAAAGTGGCGGTGCCTGGGGCTGTTGGCTTTAAGGTATCTCTGTGTGTGTGTGTGTTTGCGTCAGTAGATATTTACATACATATTATATAATTATAGAGAAAGAGAGAAAGAGGGTTTAGGGCTGAAGTCTAGGGCTGAAGGTCGACATAGGGGGTGGGATAAGGCTCCTTGGTTTAAGAGTCTGTCTGCTTTTGGATTTAGTTCCAAGCCGCTGAAAGTTCAGAAATGTTTGAATCAAAGGACCTAGTGACCAAGGATATAATTAGGGCAACTTTGCTTATAACGGCGTATTACTCCAAGTGAAGTAATTATAACTTATAACCATACTTACTAAGTCCCGCGGAATCGAAGGCAAGCTGCCTGATGTGTCACCGACGACAACAAGGCCGAGCTCCTTTGGTATGACAGAAGGAGCCCTCAACCCTTGACTTATTGAGGCAACCCCACTACGTGTTATAGGAACCCTATACTTAACAATGAAACGTATGCAATCGCTGCAGCAACCTTAAAAGCAGCACTATACAACCCGAGACACGTGTCATGGTCTGGGAGATCTGGAGAACCATTCTTGAGATGGGTGAGCGTTAGAAGCCCTTCAACAGCCAAGTACGAAGAAATGTCCCCATATCTCCTGTGCCCCTACGCAACCCCAAGCTGGTCCTCTTTTGGGCTATTTGGATTAACCCTGCCCCAAGCTCCAACACCACAAGCAACCTGCGGCATCATGCGATTGCTTTAGGGTCACGACTCTGTGGGGTTGGAGTACCCAAAAACCCTATAACATACCTCCACTCGGCCATACACTTTATTACACAGCCCAAGTTCAAGGCCCCCCCGTTTAGGACCATGAAACTTAAGAGGGACAAATGCCGTCTCCGTCAGTCTTACTTGGAGGCTCTATCGGGGCAGGGCTTCCAATCTTTTGGCCTCTCCTGTTACAGGTCCCTGTGTTCTTGTTTGAAGTTGTGGGGGCTTGAAGCTAAGGTCAAACGTCGGCACGTTTTGTCACCTCATCATATGCCCTGAGCACTAGCATTGTGTCGTGCAGTGACGCACTACGCGTAGCAGGCGGTACTACCTCGTACTCCAAGCTGACTCGGATGCGCTGCAGAATGGGCAACTCCTCCTCGAGGAAAATAGTGCCACATGCCGCCTTTGATAAACAAACCAGCACTCGTCTGCCCGGCACAGCGCCAGCTTGCGCGGCGAAGTCCCGCGATAGGGCCACCCAGAGTGGTCGTTCTGTCATCCAAAAGTCAAGCTCGTCCGCCTTCAGAATCCGCAACCCACTCAGCAAGCGGCCAGCAGCGGATTTCTCCAATGTGTGACCGCACTGCTGGGCCCGATCCTTGGCCTGAGGCCCACTCCAAAAAACATAGGGCACGCCAGCTTGAGTGTGGGGAGGGCAGTGCCTATGTATCATGCGAAGCAGTTCCGCAAAAGTGGCTAGGGCTTCATTTTCCAAACGCATGTTAGCCAAGCGGAAGCCCCGAAGAAGAAATGTCCAAAGCCGCCGTGCTGACTTGCCACCGATGCCAAGTTTTCGGCACCGCTGCAGCCATTCAGGATATGATGGATGTTTTTGACCTGCGTCCAAGCAGTGTAACTTGTTCACCCCAGAACGACCAGATGTCGCAAGCAGGGAGCGAGTCCTGATCTTTGACGAAGCCCAATTCCATGGACTCAAAGGGCACGACGGCACCAGCTTGAGTCGCCGAAACTTGCTAACTTGTTGGAAAACTGCCCATGCAATGAAGAACCCCGTTGTCAGACGAAGTAGGAGTGTGCTGTCCGGATCAGTCGTGGGCTCACCTCTGATGTCAAGATACTGAGTGGCCTCCAGGCCTATATAAACACAAGGACCGTTGATTGCAAGATTGCAGCCGTAGCCGCCGGCGGATTGCAACATTCAGTCTTCACATTGAAAAGTATTTTACACCGTTGGAGCACTTGGTGGCAACCAGCTGACAGTACAGAACTACGAATGTGATTGCAGCTAGATTCGGTTTTGAGTAATGTGTACCGCGCATAACTCCACCAGAAATCTAGCAGCATGATAATGGTAGGTATTGCGGCTTCTACATTGCAAAGCAATGTAGGGAACCTGGGCCACCACGAAGAAGATATAAGGGGACACTTTCCAACCAAGCACTTTGACAACTTGCTTCCTCAATGTTCCGTAGCTGCCTTGAAAGAAGGAAGGTGCCTGCGGAACATGTGCATGACAAAGGTTCGCAATTCTGGTGAAAGCTTGCTCTCCAAGGAACATAGGACCAAAAAACAACAGAAACCGTGCCTTATGGGGAGCCTATCTGAATATAGGTTTCTTGAAGAAGAACCCGCAGACAAACCCTTACCCGCCCTGCCGACACTGCTTCCCCGAATGTCGACAGCTCTTCACCAACCACTTGAAATGACACATGCTGGAGCCCCTTCCTCCCGCCCTACATTGCGATACACCTTGCATCACATGGCAGAGCACATCGAAAAAACAACTCCAGACTCCCAAACCGTAAACCGCCAAACCTCTAAGCCGTGAAGCTCTCAACCGCAGATCCAGTATCTCCGTGTTTTTCAAAAACTAGGGGAACCTAATATAGTACCAAAAATAGTAGGAATAAGGACCCCAAAATAAGGTACCCCCAATTTTCGAAAGCCCTCTCTCCGGGGAAGTGCTCAAGGACGACACAGCCGCAGTGGCTCGAAGCACTGGGGTGGCGTCCATGGCTCCCGAGAGGCTGCAAAGCCCGTTGGGTTGTGATAGGGTCCTGAATACGGGGACCTGAACTAAAGGATAACTCGGGTCCAGGGCACAGATTGCAAACCGTCTAGGGCTAACTGGGGCTTGAGGCTTTTTGCAGCTTTTCGTGCGGTGGACGGTTTGTGAGGCTCTAGGGCTGCAAGTGAGATCCTTTGTGCCTCAATGCGCGACATCCAGCAAAGCCTGAACCCTCAAATTCCGACTCCGAGCCTGGCCTGGCAAGGTGAGAGAAACCCTAAACGCCCTTTTTTTGATCCTCTGCAGGGATCCCTCAAAGGAGGCGGGCAGGTGAGACGTTCATCGTAAAGCGATCCCTCGCAAGACCGGCGCGCTCTTGCAGTGGCGAAGGGTTTAATACTTTAGGGCTCAGAGGTTTAGGGTTTGAAGAGATGTCAAACACATAATAACAACAATCTTAGTCCTAATATTGCCATTGTGAAGCTTACTAACTTTAACCATGCTCCTTCGAAGATTCGGGCTTCAGGTCGTGGCGGCACTTGGGGGGTTTGAGTCCCACGTCTGGCCTCAGCTAGGTGGGGCTTTTAAAGCCTTTGAAAAATATTTTCGTAAATAAGATCCTCTTAAGCCCAATAAGGGGAAAAATGTCCCAAAGCCCTCTTTTGCCTCAGAGTTTGAGACGCTTGGAGCCGGGAGTGTTCTCGGGCCTGGCTTCCCGCTGCTTCTTCACCTCGGTCTCGTGGAACTCGGGGCCGGGGAGAAGGAAAAAAAGGGGGGGTTTAGGGGGCCTCTGTTTACGGGTTCCATCAGGGGTTGGGGGTTTAGGGTTTAGGGTTTTGGGTTTTGGGTTTAGGGTTTGGGGTTTTGGGTTTAGGGTTTTGGGTTTAGGGTAGTGTTCTTGTGGCCTTAGGATTTCGGAATCAGTCTAAGGTTCTCTTTGAAGGATCCTTTTCTAACATACCTCTTCGGGCCCGGATCTTAAGGGATCTGCCTACAACCGGCGGACATACCTTGACTCGACGACTCGGTGAGGAGTTCAGGATTGCTAGGTTGTGCTGCAAGAGCTGCCATGCAAAGGCAGCTCTTTTCCACAGCAAAAAACATGCGACGGTTCCGTTTAGGGGCGGAAACCTCTGAGTCCACTGCGGCATCTTTCTTCGACAGGTCGGACTTGGCATTTTCCGCAGCCTGGGCACACTCCAATCAGTGACGTCTAGGTAATTACCCTAAAACACGGAGAGCCTTCGTAAAGTACCCCAAGTATATCAACCTCCAGAAAAACACCTGCAACTCCTTGGTTCGTTGTTTCCCCGGCCCCGCCTGTGACAAGAGCTCGCTCGCTTTCAGCCGCTTCTTTGCATCTTTCACTTCGCCACGGGAAGCCTCCAGAGAGGAGTCTATGCTCTATATGCTCTCCAGCTGCGAAGAGGCAGTCCGACGCTCTCCCTTTGGTGAACTTTACGCCCTTTCTTTGCGCGAGACTTCGCTTCGGGCCAAGGATCTCTTGGCTGATGGAGGGTGGCCGGGGGCAAACCTAAGCTACACCCGCAGCACTAAGCTATGAAGAATTGGCGGCAGCGGCTGGCGTCACTCAGCCGTATTCGCAGTTCCTCGTAGGTGCCATAGTTTCGCGGCCTTGGCGGGAGCGGACAGCATGAATTCTGTGTTCACTGTAGCTCAGCCCTCCGATGTCTGCTGAGCTGTCGCTAACATCTCACTCGCATCTCATCTCGCCACGAAGCCCAGAAACGAAACGGAACACCTCGTCGCTTTACCCCCAAGAGCTCGCCGAAACCATCTCATCCAGGCCCCCTCCAAGCTGGGACATGGCCGGGTCACAGGTCCAGCTGCAGCCCGCAAGTGTGGGCAGTTGGCAGACGCTGCGGGCTGGCATCCTGCTAGATTCACGAATATTCCATCCACAGGGCTGGGAACGAGAGCTGCACAGTATGAGGACCTAGTTTGATGTAAATCCCCAACCCTCAGAGTCTGAATGCAGAAACCCCCTGCACCCAAGAACGGGGAATTCCAATTCGACAGGAACCCCCCAGACAAAGCCGGGTCCGTCAGGTGAAGCGTCATGAAGGGCACCGGGGCGGGGAAGCCACCTTCGAGCAGCGTAGCTTGGAAGATGCCTACAAGCACCTGGTGGGGGCTCTATGAAGGTCTATCCAGAGATCCCAATACCCCTTAATTAAGGAATAGACCTTGAATCATAGTATTAAGGGGTATTGGGTCCTCTGGGTATCCAGAGTTGTTCAAGGGTCTGGACGTATTGTATACGAGCGCAACAAAGCTGTCTGGAAAGGCTTTACGTAGGTTTTGGTGTGCCTTGGAAACCGTCGATCCACATCGCCTGACGGCTACTACATGACTTCTTCCACATACGGCTTGTCATGTACTCGTTCACGCAATCGTCCGACCTCATTGTTGCTCCCGGTTTGAGGACTGAGGCAGCTCTGAACACGATGTTCCGAACTTGCTGTAAGCAATGACTGGCGGGAGCAACATTGACACGATCACACGCTCGTAAGTCGGTTTTAGCAGGTCCTCTTGAATCTTGACAAGGACAGTGTCTCACCGCACCTGCCAGCAAACTTTGACCCACGAAGCTCACTGCCTGAAGCTCTTAGCGCGAAAGCCCTCCCTCCGCATGCAACCTGGGGGGATGCGCCGGTATCCGGTGATCCACTGCCTCGGCATTGGCCGATGCAAAAGATAGGCGTCTCTTGAATCGAAGTAAAGGGTTCCTGCTGATCGGAGAGCCACATGTAATGGCAGTCAGTGTTGGAACTTGGCGTTTTTGAAGCGAACTGCCTGCAATGCAGCCAGAGCTCAGCAGCGCCGAGCGCTCCTCTCCTGACAGCTTCGCGACGTAGTCCCAGAACCTCCGCAAAGGGCATTTGGCGCTTCCGAGGCAAGCCTTAAAGGCCTTTTGTCATTCCAGGGGATACTCCGGGTCCCGTCCGAAAAACCCTGAAGGGGCGCTTGAATTCCTGCCGAGGCGCCACCGCAGGGTTGTGAGCCCTGCCGGGAGCTGCTCCACCTTGTTCGGGGAGTACCTGACGGCATAAAACGAATCAGTGTCCCTGTGCTGCTGCCGGTGACGGCTGGCACCACGAACTGCAGTCTGAGTCGAGGTCGTCGCAGTGGCACTAGCTCTAGCAGCAGCACTAACGCAAAGGACATGCGGCCATGCGCCAAGATGATTACTGAGTACTGGGACAAGGACTGCCCTCCTGTCATTCAGGGACCTAATCCACAAAGGCCTCGTGAACTGCTGCCACTTCGTGACAGGCACGTCGACACCGCCAGAAATCAGCTCTTGCAGGGGGCTCCTGACACGTCTGCTACTTCGGCAGAAAGCGGGTCTGAAAGGGAGGCGGCCGTGCGTGTCTGATCAGGAACTCGAATCGAGAGACTGAGCCAACTGTCGCACCGGAGTCCAAGACCAAGCAGAATTGAAAACACCCTGACTCCTAGCTCCACTTGACTTTCTAGTACTAGCGACTGCGGAACCAAAGGCCAGTATCAAGTTCAAGCAGCTGGATTAAGACACCACTGGTTCTTGACAAATTGCTCAATGCGGATCCTACTAACTGTGTTGCTGCTTTGGATTCAAGGATTCACAAAATGAGGTTCCAACAACAAAACAACCCTGGCCCAGCCTGAAAGCCCTAAAACCTTGAGCCCGAACCCTAAACCCGACACCCTCAAACCTCAATCCCGAAACCGCAAGACTTCATACCTCATAACAGTATAGAACCCGCACTAAACTAAACTTTGTTGAAGCCCTTTAGCGATAATCATAGTCCATAATAAGAGTAGTACAAACAAAAAATCATAGTAGTAATGAGAGTAATGCTTATTATATACTATACCCTACTAGCTTCGGGTTTCGTCCTTTAACAAACCCTTTCAAACCCAGGACCCTCCGGCCTGTCCGCAAGTCGCCGTCTTTTTGCCCGTGGCCCTTCGCTGGGCTCGGCGGGCATCTCTGGAAGGCCTGCCCACAGGCTTCAAAAGGACTACGGTGAAGGATTCCCTACAAACTACGGACAGCTTGCATTGCAGTCTTCGTATTCGGAATAGAGTGCTCCTCAACTCAGGGTATAGGGCTCTGGCTCTTTCTGCTGAAACCTCTGCCCCTGTCTCGGCAGAAAGTCGGGAAGATAGAGCAAAAGCCATCAAGACAGAGTCAGATTGATAGGTGCGCGCACATGCAAACAAATGGTCAGACAAAGGAAGACGGTAGGGTCGCCAGATACGAGGAGAAGTAGATCGTGGCATGCAGATGTCGGAATCAAACTCGTGGCCAGATCGTATACACAGTCCTATAGTCTTCTCGACTTCCTGCTTAAGCGCACGGCCCCGTCATAACCTTTCTGTCTCAAACGGAGTTCGGGCTCAAAGCATCGACAAGCTCCAGGTACCGATGGATCTAGAACTGGTTGCTGCTGTAAAGCTGAACCCCGACACACATCCAGACCCTAAATCCAAATCCTGAAGCCCAGAACCCAAAACCGTGGGCCCCAAAAACAGAGAGTGATGAACGCAGTATCTTCGGGAAAATTGGGACATCCTCCGAGCATGGAAAGCGTCAAGCAGGGCTCGTGAAACTAGTGGCTACAATGACGACTACAAATCGTACTACTAAATCCATAGGAAGGGGGCCTTTGCAAGACATTCGCTTTAAGCTTCAACACCTCCAAGCCCAACAACCCGAAACACCGGAACGGAAGAAAACAAGAACCCAAACACTGAAAACTCCAGGAGGCCTCGTTTGGCACCTCGGACCTCCACAGCGAGGCTTGGGAGTGTCAGATCCGGCACCTCTGAGAGCTTTGTTTGGGCGGAGGGTCGGGCTCTTTTTGTTCTTTGGGGTGCCGTTCAGTCGTCTGCTTTTCCAGGAATGCCGAGTTTTGGATATGATACTATCCAGCATATACGGCAGCAAATGTTAGAGGTATGCAGCAGCATGCAGGCTGGCAGACTGGCATCAAGACTAAACCAACAAGATGCAAACAACAAATTCTGTGTGGGCCCGCTGCACTGGCTACTGAGCCAGGCTTGATTTTGGCTTTGACATGTGGGAAAGTCTCAAAACCCCAACCTCCATTCCACCCTTGCCCTTGATTGCGGCGACTATGATGGCGCCTAACCTACACAGCGGCTTCTCCCACGTGCCAGGCCTAAACCAGCAGACTTATCATATCTCAGGGAGATGAACCTCTATAAACTTCCGTAAGACTCTAATAGTACCGCATAAAGTCTCATCATAAGGAGCCTTGTCAAATACCGGACCCATCCCGACACCCCAAGCCTTAAACCCAAAGAAGCATTTATCAGAGCCGCTGCCCGGAGCCCACGCCACAGTGCAGTGAGTTCGGGGGACCTGGAAAGGGCGGCCAGGGCTGTCGAGATGACTAGACTGTCAAAGGTCCAACAGGATTGAGGTTTGTCGGTTTCGATGGGGAGGCGAAATGAGCTGCCGACGATTTATTGGCAAGCTGTGTCAGGCTTGACATGCAAGGGGCCAGCATCCAATTTACTCGGCCAGTAACGAGCATCTGGTGGAAAGTGCATACAGGGTGGCTATAGACTCACGCCGAGACTACATAGCACGATCGGAAGCTTTGTAATGTGTCCGGAAACTTCGGTGCCTGGACTGTCCAACACTGCACTGATGCCCCGCAACGGCTTGGTTCAGTCCAAGGGGCACGTCGAGGATCAGAGACGACAAGGCCTTCTTCTCCATGTGCTGCTGCACGCCTCCGGCGCCAGAAACAACCCCGCTTTACAACGGCTACATATCTTGGGGCGTTGAGGGCTCACTGCCTGAAACGTCCCTCATTCTCAGTCTTGTAGCTTTGTGTCCTGTCTCTCTCGCTGTCTCTTCCTCTCTGTAGCTGTTTGGCATTAGTTCCGACGGTACGTTAATCTCCTTTAGCCTTTAGTGCCGGAAACCGTTTCAGTCCCGACAAGAACACTACGAGCACGGGCCTTCCGCAGATGGAGGGCCGCTGTACTCCACATCCTGCAGTGCCTGACAACGGCCCCAGTCAGACGAAGAAGCAATCCAAAGGATTTATGGGATGATTATGGGCATAGGCAATAGGATTCCAAGGCCTGCGGGTTTAGGGCCGCAAAGCTTTCAGGTATGTAGAATTCAAAAAAAGGTCCGGTGTCGTCTGCAAACGTTGGCATCATGTTTCGGGACTGTCGCCTCCCTCGAGAAGGGTGCCGTCTGGCCCATGGCTCGCCAGAAGTCGTATTCCTCCTCGCTGGGCTTTGGACCGGGTGCATCCTACCGGATTTCGGTGTCACCACAGGTCGCGGGACTTAGCAAGTGCAGCATTTAACATCATCCCAAAAGACGACAGATATCAGTATTCCGTGAGCTCTCCAGAGTTCCTAACCCACATCCCTTGGGCAATGCGGAACAGCCACTACATCTACCTCCTTAGCCAACAGCAGGATCTTAAACCACGAAAAAACAAGCAAGTCCTGGCTCACCCATCGCAGCCACTCAGCGGAAAAGCCCAATCTTTGGAGCTCGAAGCTGCGGCCTCTGGGCTCTGGGCTGGCGGAGTTTCGTTTACGATGCCGGGACCCCTTTCCTGGATTTTGACATTTTGAGGCCTGTGAAGCCTGCGGTCTGCGCTGTCGGCACTGCAGGGCTCGGCTGTCCTTGGATCTTCGAGAAGTCGCCAAGACGTGGCTACAAACGGCCGACCCAATCAGAGTCCCATGAAGTCTGATAAAGTCAGGAAGCCTATCCTCAACCTAACCTGGGGCCGGAAGCCCGAAATGGAAAAACACAGCTACCTGCCTGTCAGGCCAAAAGAGCTCAGAAGGCTCTGAAGCCGAGTCGCCAATGTCGCCGCGCACCATTGCTGCGTCGGGTATGTTCCGGATGCTCTGCAACGATGCAACGACAAGGTCACGGTGGAAAACTCATGCATGTTTGGCTCACTGCTCAGACTAGCTGTCGGTGCAAAAACAGAAAACTGTGCATCCTTTCAGCGACCTGCGTCTGCGAAGATCCTTCCTGAGCTGTCCTTCTGCCGGATTGCAAGCGGACTAAAGCCGGAAAAGCCTCCAGCGCTGTGGGCAGACGCGGATGCGTCAAAAGATGGCAGAGCGGAGCACACATCTCCTCGGACGGAAGTGGCACAAGGTCGAAAGGACAGGCCCATGCTTGCATCTAAGTGAGAATGGGACAGAGTGGAGGTGAGATCACAGGTGCTGGAAGGTCATTTTGTGGTTCGGATATTGGTCCAGTCCTTTTGCTTCCCTAATTCTTGTGGCCGACGGCGAAGCCCCACGCCGGACGGCAATGCGGCCGGGGCCTATGGGTAATGACTTTGCAGACATTCGTCCACCAACAGAGAGGACTCCTTCCGCAGCTCACACCAAGGCCCGACAAAAGAAGGCCTGAACCCGATTCCCAAACACTATAACCCTTAACCATAGAGTCTCTATAAGCCCCCCCCCCAAAATCTCCCCTAAAACAAAAAATCCTAACCTCATGCCCTGAACCCTGGGACTCCAGGAGTCTTTCTGCCGAAGGTGCAATGCCCAGGGGCTGCGAGTCCCGCAGTGCCAGGCCCAGGACTTTGCCCAGGGCCTCACAAGGAATAGGGTTTAGGGTTTAGGGTCTAGGGAGACAAGGAGGGGAGGTAGATCTTTGTGGAAAGGGTTTAGGGCTCAAGCTTTATGGGTTTGGTCAGTTGTAGAGCAGGTTACTGTGGTGTCTCGGGGGTATCGTTAATGGAGCAACCCCAGAAACAGACACGTCGTGCCATCTCAGCTACTCTACTATTGAGCTACAAGGGTTCCCAGCAACGCCTGGAACATACGTGTAACCGTTCAGTTGCTATACAATTGAGTCTGAAGCGGGAAACCACCTAACAAAAGGCCCAAGGTGTCCTGATGTTGGAGAGCAAAAAAATCGAAGCCCCACAGGCGGCGTTTACAACTAAGAATACTGTACATACTGGCCCTCGTCAGAAGGATCCTGATATTCGGGATCTGCATTCCAATCCCGCATTGTTCTTTGGCGGGCCTTGTACGCTAGGTCAGGGAGATTGAGCCATGCCACAAGGTCTTGGGTAGGGACTGACATTGGCGAGTATTTGCCCTTGCACTACAAAGCCAACCGAAGTGCTCTTTGTTCACTTCGAAGAACACAGCACAAGACTGTGCTCTTATGGTGATCGTGGTTACAAGTAACGCAGCTGCACTGCAACAACTGTCATTGCCATGGAGGTAGCAAGAATGATAAGCGTCCCAACAAGCTCACTTCGCGGAAGAACTCTAAACTCTGAAGCCCTCGACTCTTAACCCCCCGCCCCAGAGCCCCAACCTAAACTCCTAAAGATAACTTCCTCAGCCTCCAGTTGCTGCGGATCTCCGCCAGGCTTGAGCCGGGCAAATGCCGTCCCGTCTACAAGACCTGAGTCTTTAAGCGGGTTTCCAGGGCATTGAGGGTACTGCGGATCTATCAGATTTGGGGGACTGGGGGTTTACGGGCTTATGGCTTAGTTTCGGGGGTTAGGGACGCAAGCTCTGAATACAAACGGGAGTGTACCGTCGCACAGCTGTCAGAATGCCCGATGGCTGATTCAGCAATGAACTCGGAGTGACATGAGCCTGCACGTCAGGATCTCCACAGAACATCTAGCATCTTGTGCAATGGGCCTGTGGCAGACAATGGAGCGCAACAAATGGCAACTTAGTATCATACCTTCAATGTAAGTAATCAACAGTAGGTCACAAAGGACCAATAATGATGCTGGGGGTTGGCACGGCTACGAATACAAACGCAATACCAGAACACAGACTTACCCTGAATTCTAAACCCGATAGTACCTTCGTAGTAACGGTTACTGCTTAGTAACCCTTCATGGAACGCTTAACCGGAACCCTGCACACCTAAACCTTCCAGGCCTCAAACAGATGCGCCTACGACGAGACAGGGACGAGGGTCCGTGCTCCACCAGCCCCTGCTCTCGCGACACCAGGCCCATGGCGACCTGATAGGGATATCCCATATGAATCCCCTTGTAATGAAGCCCAATAAGGTAGGGATATCCCCATATAATGACAGATCCCCCAGGAAAAGGAGGGTGTTGAGGTTTCTGGGCCTCGGGTTGTAGCGTTTGAGGGTTCAGCCCTCTAGAGGTCTAGGGTTTGGTTTTTTCGGTCTAGGGTTGTAGCGTTTGAGGGTTTAGTATTAGCCCTGTAGAGGTTTAGGGATGTAAGCGTTGGAAAGTTCTGGGGTCCCCAGAATTTCCACAAGGGTTCTACAAGCAGAGTCGCTGCTTTCAAGTCATTCCTACAGCCATCCTACCGATTCGTAGCATTGAATTACGACTACACAATTTTGTTGGTGGCGTCATAAGAGAAGCGACTGCTATGATTATGACTCTTAGCATGATGGTATAGACACTTCAGTCGGCCATCACTAGTAACCTTGTACTTGTTAAAGCCCGTTCACTGCCCGTACTCTGAATGTTACTGCTCTTACGGTCACCTACGATCACCTATCACTATTACCAGCTTTTTGGTCTTAGTCTTATCGCTACCATTGTTATTGGCTTTGGTAGTAGTCCTCGTGGCCGTAGTCGAAATATGAGTACATGACAAGCCTTTATTCAAGGCTATACGACCAAGGCGAGGACAGTTTAGCAAGGGCTCAACCAGTGATGCAGAGTCAACGTCACGCACGCAAGCGAGTTTGTTGGCAAACATCCACATGTAAACGCTAGATCCTAAACCCGATCTGCAAAGTGCTTCCTGCACATCCGTGCCTCGTTGAGCCAATCGCGGCACAGGCCTGCCAACGTCGGATGCAAAGCAAACAAACCTGAATCGTAAAGCCCAAATCCTCAGACTCTAAACAGAGAACACCCGAATACCGAACCCAAAACAACCCAGAGCCTGCCCGAAGGAGTCCCTGGAAAAAACTTGTCGCTTCTTTTCGAGCCGGCCGGGCCTCCGAAATCCAGGCCAAGCCTCAGCTCAAAGGAATCGTACCCTAGGCCCTAGGCCAAGTCTAACATCACAAAATGCCAAGGTACGAAGCATAACCGAATATAAGGCAGCATATGGTACATGGTAGTAATGTGTGTGTGTGTGTTGTGTATGCTGTGCATATAGATAGATGACGTTACATGTATACTGACACCATGGCTCAGAAACATAGTGTAACCTGCTGCGAAACAACAGAGTATGACAGATATACTCCACAAGAGAGGAAACGAAGCCGGAGCCCTTGGCTGAGCGTAGCCGTTTTGGAACCCAAGGGTTCCGGGTTACATCATAATGCAGCTGTTGAGGGACTACAAGGGGATTACGGTTTACCACCATAATAATTATCCTTCAGGCCTGCACTTGGCTCCTACAATTGTGGTGTCCGTGTGTGTATTCGGGGGTGTAATGAAAACCTTACATCAATCACAACCCTTTCAAGCCCTTATAGCTACCGGAGCACAGCCGTACTACAGTCGTTGCAGATCGAAGCTCTGCTACTGCTTCTTTTAAGCTACGTAGCGTATGCTTCACACTACCGAAAACTGAAGTCGGGATCCGCTCCTCTTGGACAAAGCAACGGGGGCTTGCTAGTCAGAGTAGGGACTCAAAGGGGAGATTGCGGGAGGTTATTACTACCTCACTGCGTCTTCAGACCTCTGCATCACCCTGCTTAGGAATCCGATTTGGATTCTATAGGGGTTGGAGTGTTGTGTCAGTCAGGCGACTCTCTGGTGATCGACGGCAGGGAATCCTCATCTGCATCATCAGCGTGTTCCGAAATGTAGACCACCTCGTGATCGGGAGCTCCTACCATGTTCGCACCAATTACCTGAACATGGGCTGGGCAATATGCACGGGAGGTCAAGGTCTGTGGCCCATGCATGTAGTGTTTGGAGCTGTGAAGCCCAACGAATTCGGCACCTTTTCCCTTCTGTACTATATTACTACAGTATAGAATGTATACTATATCACTATGTGATTCTATACTATACTAGATTGTATGACTGGAGGATGTTGAAGGGTGTGACTAAGCGATACGAGACGTGCTGCAGATCAACCTCAAGCCTACTGGCAAGCCTGCACTGCGATATAACCTGCGCAAGCTGGCAAGACATGCAACTATCACCGGCTACCTGGTCCAGACGCATCACAGTCTGCTCATTTTCTCTCACTGGTGCTTGCTACATCCCGTGATGTTGCACCAACTGCTCATAGGCTCATACTGCCACACCGCAATTTGCTGGCCTCAAAGATCTTCTTCCGCTTCAGCATCTTCCGCGGCTTTGTTTGGTCAAAACATAGATACAAGACGCTGCTGCGAGAACGGGGACACGCCCTCACCACCAAGAAGCTCCGGAGACGCCACAAAAAGATTTGTGGATTGGCTGGTGGCGGTGGTGGGCTCCTTGAGGCCCGCATCCTCGAGCTCCGTCTTTGTGAAGCCTTGCTCCAGGAGTCCCTTGTAAGACCTCTGCGACATGCTCAAGACCGCTGTGAGCTCCTCGGACTGAGGCAAGCATCGGATGTCCGAGGCCTTGAAGCCGCTCAGGACGAGCTCCTTAATGGAGTACGCTCCCTCCGTGTGAAGACATTCTGCCGAATAACCCATCTGTTGCAGCTCCTGTGCCTGGATGCCCGCCACCCGGAAAAAGCGCAGCGGAAATGCCATCGCCTTCATCATGCGGATGAAAGCTGTTCGGTACTCGTACTGCAGCTTCGCGTGAACCTCCTGATTTGGTTCTGCGTCTCGCAGCTCGCGGAGCCATTCGATCAGTGGCATGAAGACGATGGGAGAGTAGTCCACAAAAATGTTCCCGTCAGCGTCCAAGGGCTGCCCCTCACAGTCGTCATCAATTGCACAAAGCTTGTTCTCCCCTGCCACCTTGAACAAACTTGGAAGCACCGTTACCATCTTCTCCCCGCCAATGTTGATTCTGACAGGGCGTTTCGAGCCGGAGTGGGGTTTTGCAGCTGCCATGTTGGAGACCACTACAGATCTGGAACACCTGTCAGCCACAATGTGCTGCGAACGAGATGCAGTTTTCAGCACTTTGCAGACTATGGATCTTAGCTAGTGGTTGAAAGGTTGAATACACCTTGCATCCAAGTGCAAGCCGAGGCACGTTCGGGGGATAACGAAGCTGTCCTGGGCTGGGTTGCTACGTGAAGTTCTCACTTCTGACCTCGAACTCTGCTGTTTGCCGGGCCTGGAAAGCTGAGGCCGTCGAAGCCTAAGGGATACGGGACATGAAGGACCCAGCATACTGATCACCAAGCTCAAGTCTGTCGCGCTACCAGGACTGTCAGCTATACTCTGCTGTGGATAAATCTCTAGAGGTCTTGCAAGGAGGTCTCGAACTCTGCTGCGACGGCATTGACAACGCCCTGAAAACAAGCTGCTGCCGAGCATCGCGGTCCCAAAAGGCGTAGCTGTTCTACCTCGCAGGAGCGCAGCAGTGATTCATGGTATGGTATCGTATGTATCCTGTTGAAGTTGTGCCGAACCGCCTAGTGTTACAAAATGCTGCCGTTCAAGGCCTTGCTCTGTTTGCCAAGTTCGCGAGTTCGGAGTGGCTATGGGGAAGGTATAGCTTGCGTAGAATAATCTGTGCGGAATGCCACAACGCAGGCTCTCTGGAACACCAAGCCGCGGAGGACTCGAGAAAGCGGTAGCGCTCTATCACCACCGACCTGGTCGAGTGCTCCAAATGCAAAGGGCTCCGGGTTTAATGTAAAAGCCAGAAAGTTGGAATATGATTATCCTAAACCCTTTATGGTAAATTATAGGGTATCCTACCCTGAAACCATATTCCAACTTTCTGGAGTTCCCTTTATGTGAAGGCTTGGGGATCTTCACGATCATAGCTCTTGGCCTGTCTTTACCTTCACCGCTTCAGAAGGCAAAGACCGGAGTCGAGTGAAGAGTGGAATGAACTCGCGTTTCGGCACTTTTTTCCACTCTCGAATACCTCATAACTTCCCAGAATGCCCTATATGTACCCTAAACCCTGAACCGCTAAGCCTTAGCCCTGTAAGTAAAGGCAAGGCTCACGCGCTCGGCGGCGAAGAAATGCAGCACCAAACGGCAGCCCAGTTTCGCTCCTCGCTTCAACCAAGGGGAACTAAACGGGCTCGGAAGGGTTTAGGGTTTAGGGTTTTGGGTTTCTGGTGTTGGGTGTAGGGGGATTTTGGTATAGGGTTTTGGATTTAGAGTTCAGGGCTTCTCATGGATTTACAAGAGTACATGTATGTGGGTTGCTTTTGGGTCGCTGATTCTACCGCACACTCGCAGGGCTATCGCCACTTCATTGGTTTCCCGAAGGTCCCATATTTCTCATGGCACAGTACTACGTACTGTGTACTTCGTGACGAAAAGCGCCTGAGGGTTGGTTGTTGCAGTATATTGATCTAGGACGGCTAGGGCTGGAAAAGTTAGAGGAATCGGAATACCAAGAGCCCTCAAAGCTCGAACTCGACCAGCTTGCTCCATAACCGGGAGATTCGCAGAACCAGGAGCCTTCAAGCAATTAAGCCAAAAGACCGGGATCCCCACTACAAGGACCCGGGCCCCAATCCCTGATTTCAAGAACCTCCCTTTTGCCTGGACCGAGGAGGCAGATCGTCGTCAAGGTATCGAAGCCAATGTTGCGCGACTGGGACAGCAAGCCCTGCCGGAAGGGTTCAGGTTTCAGGGTAAAGAACACGCCCTTCAATTATTTAGCAGGGTCAGGACTCGCGGATCATAATGGTACTGTAGAAGCCTGAATAATTGCCTAAAACAATTCTTAGGGCCCCCTAGTACAGTTATACTACATTATAACCTCACTTGTTGCATGGAAGCTCGTGGAAGGCAGTCTCTGCTACTGGCTTCTGATCTTGCAAGCCTCTGTGGTGTTCAGTTGGACGTCATACACGTTCGCAGAGTGATGAAAGCATACATTCCGTTTTGAATCTACGCACTAAACGTGAATGAAGATTAAACTAAGCTTTCTAACAAGGACCCCGTCCTTGCTATGTCATACCTGCAGGCTGTGTGCGAGGTGTGCTCATTCATGCCTTTGTTGGGCCTCCTTATATAGGTGATCTTCTGTTTCCAAGTCTTTTGAGTGGGTTGTAATGACATTAATGTCCCTACTGCACATGTTGGGATTTCTTGTTTTGCCAGACTCCCACATCCAACACCCAAGGGCCCTGCCAGAACCACGAGCAGGTTCAGCATTGCCATAGGCAGCCGCTGCGACCGTAGCCACCACAGTGGTGCAACCACGGCCTATGCAGCTTGGGTTCTTGGGTCTACGGCTTTATGGCTACAGGGTCGTCGCGAAGGTACTATCTAGGAGCCTTATTGATTAGAATAAGGTTTTGGGGCCCGTTATACAACAATATAATAAGGAACCCACCCAAATACCTTTGGTATCTATTTAAGCCACCTTGTCCTGGCCTGATGCGATTTGTGGGGGGGGGGGGGGGGGTGGGGGTTGCCGAATTTTGGGTTCCCTATAAGAAGGATCCTATTTAGGGTACTATATTAGGGTTTAGGGGTACCTTACTATTTAGGGTACTATATTAGGATCCCCTATTTTCGGGATGTCACATGCCAGCTGGTGTATGGGAGGGATTGGGAAAGCGCGGTAGCGGTACCTTCCACAGGCATGCCTGCCAATGAACCTGAACGATCATGCAAATGAACCTGCAGCTTCGAATTTGCTTTCAACTATAATCACACCACACAGTGTTGAAAACAGGCAGATACGATCCAGCCAAGCCTGGAAGATATGAGTTTCCACAGCAATAAGGCCCTACAAAGGAAGGATCGTCATTGTGCACAAAGGTGAACTATGCAACCTAGAACTTGGGAACTGTGAACTGGACGGCCGATCTGTTTGTCTCCTGCAGCTCGTCGAAGGTATGGACGCGTAGAAGATAGTCGGGGGAAGACATGGGAGCTTCTCGCACATGATTTGAACAAGGAATGTTCCTCAACTTCTGAGCCGACAATCCTTATAGTCTTATGGTATATACGTGAGTTCGTGGTGATTTTGTTATGATTTCCACATGCAGTCTGGCCCACTTGGGCTGTCTGCGGGACTCGTGCTGCTCGTCAGGATCCGGTCTCAGGCGCATTTTGCAGATCAGCCACAGGCCCATGGTTCCTGTGAGGGGGATTATATAGCAAGCTTTGTCGGGCTTCGGCTCTTGCCAGGGTCACGTGATGCCTTGGATCCTGTTCTGAGCGGCACTGTCGGGGTCCAGAGATGCACAGGTTGCGAGCTCTCATATCTCTGACTCCTCTCTTCGCCCTCGCTGCAAAGCAGCGTCTGCTTGAATTAGCAAAAAGTCACCAGTCTGCGCTAGCGAACTGGATTTCAGGGACCGTGAGAACCGATCCGTCTGCTTCAGGCCTTGGCCTGGGAAAAAGCCGCGGATCAGGGCAGATTGCTTGGACCGCCGCTGCAGGAAAAGCAAGTCCTCACATCCGCCCGCAGCGGGAGATCAAGTGGTACTTTCTCGCAACCACTGACCACCGAAATACCCAGCACACGCAACAGTAGGACGCAGTGCGCCCCTTTTACGGTTGCGAAGCGGGCAGCCGGTAAAGCTCATAGCACGGGGCTCGGCCGGCTTTAAGACCACAGCTCGGGACAAGGTTCGGCAGCGCCCCATCGAAGGAACCCGACTGTAGCCACTACTGTAAGGCCGGTATATACTACGTTACTCTATAGAGCCTCTATACATAAATCTACATGTGGTACATATCGCTTCGGTCCTGAGGCACTGAGCCTGAAGCCGTGTCCAGCAAGGTGGAAATGGAAAGTGTTCCACATCGGACCTGCCAGATCCGAATCAGAACCTCTAAAACGGTGGGGCCCGAAAGGAGGGGATCCTCGTTCTAAGGACCCCCGACCACTTGGGCCAACACCTTGCAAGCAAAGAGCCGGTCCCTGAGAGACACTGGGATCCCACCCGTCCATGCCCACGGGGCAGGTATCTCCTGGGTTTCCGGTTTAGGGTTCTTTGAACATGTTAGTTTCGCAGGGTTTCAGGGATCCTTCTGTTGATGATATAAATCCTGCATTACCCATAATAAGGAATATACCATAATTTCCATAGCTTAGGGTCCTTAAGGTACTGCAGGATTTATATCATCCACCGTACCACGGCTTAAGGATCTAGGTCCAGGTTTGGGAGTTTCGCTCAGGGTCTTGACAGGAAACTCGCGGCTATCTACCCTCCATGTAAAAAGAGCGATGGTTCGGGTGCCCCGAATGACAGGGAAGGCCTTTGCTGGTTTAAACTCTGCCACGGAGCAGAGCTTGGGTCGCGCGCGCACAGAATCTCAAATAAGGCTGTGGATCTTGGATTGCGAGTTTCAGAGAAACGGGACCCTCATATGAACGGATGCTTCACATAGGGGCCTCCCCAAGCAGGCCGTTAATTTTGGAGAAACACTCATTTGAGGTTCAAGTAGCAGCCGAACCGGAAGTAAGCGCTGCACTTAAATTGACTTCGGCCCTGTAAGGCTTCCATCGAGCTTTTAGAAGTGTTTTGAAGTTGTCTTCAACGTTCTTCTCGGCTCTAAGATTCTGGATCCTACCATCTAGAGAAATGTCCAGAGCTCTTTATCTTCTGACACTCGCAAAGCGTCACCAGAAGGAACTGTATATCGGGTTTTACGCCCAAAAAGCGCTTCTGCGCCGCCCTTCAAAAAGACAGGATGGTGCTGCTTGATTCGCAACTGCGCACCTGTCTACCCGGCATAGTCCCTAAACCCCTTACAACCTCAATGAACCCTTTATAGGGGCATCAGTTGTTGGGGTATGCTACATTGCAACTATACCAAAACCCCTAATAATAGTGTTAAGGTGGTCCATGGTCCAAGCCCTAAACCCTAAACCAGCCTAAACCCCTACGATTCCCTACGATACCTTCAAGAAATCCAGGGCTGCTCAGGAAGGAGATAGCATGGACTGGAGCCTG